AAGGAAATTAATAACTAATATCGTTTACCTAAATTAAAGTTTAATCTTTGCAATACCATGAATGAATAAATTTCATAATAATTACTTAATTAACAAATAAACAGTAACTAAATTACTCATTCAGATGAAATCACTATCTTTACGCTGAAATAAATTATTTTATGAGCATTGTAAGTATTAAAATAACCATATTTTTGATTAATTAAGTACATGGCTTCACGTTTGGTGAATGATCAAGATTCACCTCCTAAATAAAATATGTTCTATTGCCAGAAGCCCAGAAAGTATAAAACATACTCCGAAGTCGGCTTTGACAACCGCCAACATGCCCAATGTGAAACGTTTGATGTTTCTTCACCACAGTAACTGACTCTCTAAAGTTCATATTTATAGAAGTAAATTATCTACAATCAATTCACAATACCGACCCAATAACAGCAAACTAGATCCAGGTTATTTAAACAATATAGATAAACGTATTGCTCCAAAATTATCATTTGCACAAAATATTTGCCTGATAACAATGCAACATATTGATAACAATTAACTGTTAAGTATCAATTATTTTATAGATAAATCATGATTTTCCGCCGGTAGATCCGTTTCAGGACATCGAAACGTATATTGGATTAATTTCTTCACTGTACTATTGAAAAATAGTTCATACCTATAAGTAACATTGACATGAAATTTGAGGGACAAATGAATCGTGTTCAATTTTCGCTTCTAGGGTAATTAAAAACGAAATTCAATAGTTGAATCATCAAGTTAGGTATCGATGTCCATTTCCAATTCCAACGAGCAGAAATAAAAATACTTAGAAACAATTTTTCCCGTCAGTCAGGTACAATACAAACTGCAGTTTGATAATAAAGCCATTCATAATTGCGCCGGATTTTAGATGACAAACCAAGTTGAATGATCCTACCTAACACTGAATATGCATCCACTAATTATACACAATTTAATAATATTTTCCTTATCTGAGTAATGTTTGACGTGCTGGAAGCAATGAGAGATGCATGGTTACATCTATATTATCCTGGACAAAGTATATACCTATTTGAAAAGTTGGCGTCATATTGGCGGGATAATATCGTTAATTTGTACTGTTACCTACGTATATTACATAACGCTTATTAATTATCATATAAATACTGAAATTGTGGTATTCTGCCGTCATCGGACGAATTCATTCATAATTCCTTCCCTCTTTGGTATGTTTCATTGTGGACCTAATTGTAGGTACTTGTTATCGATGATAGGTTCTTTATGATACCTTCTTTATGTGGCTGTCATGGTTTGCAGAATAAGTTTTCTGAAATATTTAAATAGATATGAGCAAAGCAACAGTGAATCCTATTCATTGGTACCAACCATACCAAGTCTACCACATCTCCCATATCCACCGATCCAAATCGGACACCAATTCGAAACGATCTGATATGGGTACATGCTACGATATATATACGATACTTATATTTACCCAACAAAGAAAACACGAAATATCTAGATAGGTAAGGTAAGGTACGTTTGTATGTTCTTCGAACAACATTACGTCATGAGGTTTCAACACCTTATCTGTTAACGGAACATCGTTTAGGACGAAGATTTTTGAAGTACACATTATATCAAGTAAAACTGCTAATGGACACTGAGTAACTGAAGATAAGATTTCTCCATCCGTGCGTGTTGTTTGTTCAATAACGTCGCTATCAGATAATAATTATAGTTTCCTATACTTTAAACTGTATTTTGAAATATTTCTCTTCTTGTCTTCGTGTACTTTAATCATCATGATAATTTGTAATCAGTGTTGTGATTACAAATTTATTTTGTTCCTTCAATACCTCGCCTAACATCCTATTCACATCTTCACAATCATCCTTCAGTTTTAATCTAATAATCTCTAGATAAAATTAGGAGACAGATAAGAAAAACAGATTTTCCAACATTTAGACCATTTATCGGGGGAATTAATTGTCGATTTTGTACAAAGAAGCAAACTAGCCAATCATATTATGACTTTTAATCCACTCTATGATTCTATAAATAAAGGTTATCGCTTTGAAAAACCTGTCCCATTTAATAATAATGGCAAACTAGCTGGTTATTGATTACTCAATGACGATGCTGAAATGTGAATTGCTAATCACGATTTATTGTAACATCTATTGATGAGAGTCGTAAATTCGTAATAGAAAAGGCCTTTTAACCAAATATGGTGATGACTGCTAAAGAAAAGGTCACAATAGTAGAAAATCAATTAAATAACTGGCATTTACGAATGAGTAGGTGCTATCTAATATTACAAAGGTGAGGTAGATAAGGTTTTTTAGGAGAAAGGACGCCATTTGTTGTATCAAATACAATGAACGTTGAATTGCAAGTGAAACAAAGAAAAGACGAAGGACTAACGTCTGGCGTGGCTTGGAAGAAACGTCTGTTACCTTTTGTTTTATTGTTATGTTATAATTTGTTTTAATACATTGAACTATGATAGTATAGGTACATAATTCCGAAATAAACCAAAAAATCTGATAAATTCAGTTAAAATTCATATTCAGTTTTGTAGTTGGTGACTAAGCCTGTTGCCAAAGTCTGTTTCTGAAAACCAAAAAGAAATATATATACGAATGAACTGCACAAGACCTTGAAATAGTTTGAGAAAATGATATGTCTAGGCATTCTATTTTAAGATCCATCTTATCTAAGCCCAAGGTATCGATTAATGTCATGGCGTAGACAGACAATACATTGTCTAATCACCTCAACTCTAGCTTTCGCTATCTCAAAAATATTGAACAGACGAAATTTTTGGATAGTTTTTTTTTTGTTATTTTCAGATGTTTATGAGATTGCGTCCCCTTTAGCCTTTAGCCACACAAACATCGATCTCGATATTAAAAAACGACCATCAGAGAGACGTTGGCCACGTGTTGACAGATGGAGGGGGCCGTGTTTGCATATGTTTAGGTGACCGATACCAGAGGTCGACTCTGAGATGGGGCCCGAGTACGTTTGATAAATAAACCGATTTTTGTATTGAATGAAGCCTATCGCCTGTTTTGGGTAAACAGGAGATTGAACCATGACTTTGGAGTAAAGAAACATTTACATTATATTACTCAGAATTTTAGGAACTAAACTTGAGGATAAAATTTCAGCATTCTTAAAATATTTTTATGACCTTTTCCTAATTAATTTAAGCACTGAGCCAGTAAACGGTACAAGTAAGAGTCACAAAAAAATTAAAATAATGTTAATTATTTAAGTGAGGTAACATAGGTGAAGACAATAGCAAATTCTTAATTAATAGATCATAATCTAATTTGATATTAATTACATGTAAGTTTTGTTTCTATGGTGGTTAAGACAGAGCAAAATACTATAGCAAAATACATAAGTATATTTCTATTTCATTGAATAAAAAAACTTTTGCTTCTAAAACACGATTTTATTTGAATACTGCTTTAAACTGCCAAAGTTACCTATGATTACTATCCAATATATTAAAACAAGATCTATAAACAGAGATAATCAAGCACAAAATATTGCAAAACAGACACTTCTGATGCACCCAGCGCCATCTTTCTTTCGACTGACAAGGATGATGTTACGGCTTACGATTTTAGGCGCGAAAAATTACCATAGATTGTATTCGTTTTAGTTTTAAATATTAATGCGTTCAATATTTAAATGTAGGGCGATTGCTAATTAAATAATCGATTGACTGTGTTTACTTTATTGATAGCGAATATTAATGAAGCACATACAAAGGACACGGTGTTTTAACAATGATAGGTAAGTAAAACGTAGCTTATTGATAAATATGATCAGTTTGGAGAAATACTAGGTATTAACAACTCTAGCATTCTTTATTCTGCTTTATAATACAATAAATGATTAGTTAAGTAAATTGTAATGCAAGTTAGCTCCATCTAATAAACCGAACGATGGATCTAGTTAATTTATCAAACGAAAAACACGAAATTACGACATCGAAGCCAACCAGTTTCGCATTACAAGAGATAGGTAATTACAGTTCTTAACTAATGGATAATTTATTAAATTGGTACTACTTAAGACTTATGTGAAAAAACTAAAGTAATTTTATGTTATAGAACATGGTATTAAGTAGTTCAATATTCTCATATTTTTTTCATAAATCGTTGTGCATAATCTACCACGTGGCGTATTCATATTATTGTTCCTTTTTTAAATAAGAACAAATGATCGATCACAACAAAAATGACGTCACTCTTAGGTATGAGGAGGTAAGTAGGTACACACCTTCAAAACATTATCGTTCTTACGTGGCTTATAATAAGACAAAATCCGGCTTTCTAGAAATTGAAAAAGCCCCGTTAATTGAAGTGCCAAAGTATTTGTTTTTACAAAAGACTACAGATAAAATATTATTGATAAAAGATTAATGCAAGTATTCATTTGTTTATTCAAAATCGTTGTGAACGATAACGCGACGTTTTTATGCATATTGTTTATGAATATTAATTTTTAGTCAGTTTTTGTCCTTAGAAATCTAGATATAAGCGCATTTGATTGGTGACGTCATACATTTACTTAATATTGTAACTTACACTATAATTAATGTAGATAAGTAATCTAAAAGTTTTTAATGAAATAACTATACCTACTGAGGTAGGTATTTTCTTTTGAAGACCAATATGAGTGTAAAATGGTTAGACTTGTTATTAATGTTTTATAAACAACTGGTTCGACATTTTACAGCATGTATTCAATGATAGATTATTTATTTTAATACCTAACTAAGTATATTTGCAAATTAATTCACCTACCTTTTTGAGTATCTTACAAAACATTTCCAATGACGCAAGTAGACTCATTGTTTCAATTTTTACTTTAGAATATTTACATGAGTGAATTATTCTAAATGTTTAATTTTGAATAGAGAATATCGACGACCATCATTGTTCTAATCGAACAGATAAAGCTAAATAAAGAAGTGATAATGACGGAACCACTCGGCACGGCATCTCCACATTATTATCATTGCGCGCTCTCGATGGTGATCCACCTGAACTCGCGCGGACAATCTCGCCCGGCCGACGAAACGAATGACGCTAGCTGTCTCGCTCGTTCGCAGCCCGCGTGAGATGCGCTCTCTCCTTCTCCCCGCGCGCCCGGCCGCCGCTCTCGACCAATCGGCGGCCATCTTTTGCTCCCCCGAGAGCAGAGCGACAGTGCGTACTCTCATCACGATCACAAGGAGACGACATCTCGGCGCGCGAGGTTGTCGTTCCCGCGCGAGATGCGATACACGTTCGACGCGCGAATTATTTCAATAAGTGCCTTACAAATTTTAAAGTGTTTGTAAATATAAAATAATTTAAGACTGTAAATCTGTGCTCAAAAATTATTTAAGTGTTTTGTGAGAGACTGGACGCTGTTTCGTGTGTTATTGGACTATTATTTTGAATAATTTCGGGCTTCGGCTGATATCGCAGAAATTATCCACCATTGGGTAAGTTATTTCGATTAGATTACGATGCAAATTATCGTTTGTGACGGCGGGCGTCGCCCTGTGTTTTAGGTACCTCTAGTAATTAATATCGAGTGGGCTCAGTGCGATACACGACACTCGAATGTTTTGTCGTCTCTTGACCCTTGAGCCCTCGAAGGTGACTTGTGTGTTCGAAAAACAATTTATTGCAGATTGTCGCTCCATTTATTTTTAAATGCATTTCACGAGACCGTTATTTAATTAAATAAGTGCGCGAAAAATACGAAATACATTTTTACGAAAAAGCTCTGTCGGTTATGTGGAAGCTATTTAATTTTAGTGTTATTCTATTTTATGTTATTTTTAATTTTGTACACAAGTGCTCAATTTGTTGAATCGTGTGCTAAAATGTATGTTGCGAAGTGTTAAAATAAAAAAAAATGTTGACCATAAACTCCTTTTCTATAAACTAACTCCTTACGTGTTTTTAAACAAGCATAAAAAGTTAAGAAACAGGTAGCTTTAGTTAAAAAATAATCCCAAACTAGCTTTACCGATTGTTACACTAAAATCAATTAAAATAACTAAGAAAATGGAAATCGTTTAGTAAGATCAATATCACTTTCGCCGTCGGATCACATCGGGTACAACTTAATTATTTCGCTAAGTTACGTGTTAATAAATAATTAAAATAATTGTAAATCGGCAATGACGCTTCATAAATCACAAATTAAAAATGTCCAAATCTATGTATAAAATTGTCGTAGATATTAAAAAAAATAGCGAATTGTGACAAAAGTGGGCCATTCTTAGAAAATTTAATGTACAACACATTTTAGATAAAATCCCATTTTTTGATAAAATTAAACTAGATAAGAGATTAATGCGCAACGATTGCCAATGATTCAGCCAATTTGTTTTCTTTGTTATCTATTTTTTTCTCGAAGTAACATTTTGCAATTAATCATTGTACTAAATGAAAAAAAAATATATCAACAGATTAAAATGAAATGGTAAAGTTATTAAAAAGGGGCGTTATTCTGCAATCAATTTACAAAGCATTGACGAATGAATTTGACGAAACGGCATCCCTATATTTTATTTCCAGGATAACACCACATCCAGTTAAAACCGACTGTGCTGGTTTCTAACCAAATAATTCCGCCAATCACGCTATTTTGTCATGTTTGTCCCGACCACGTCATAAAATACAGATAGACATTATCATTCAATTAATCTCAACAGATTAGAAAAACGAAAACGATTGTAAATTGTCATATGTCAGAAAACTGTATTTGAACGATTAACTTTGGTTATTATTTCTTGGCCAATCGAAATAATATAATGCAATCAATTACTAATGAGCAATCATCTCTTAAACTGTCAAACACCGCGAGGACACCGGTGACCGCAACCTATTGTTCTTTAATTGTGTCTATAATGACTGTACTCAACGAGTGAAATATGATAATTAATTAATATTATGGGCATCATTTACTCTACACTAGAAAGTATGACTCATAAAATGACGAATGATCTTCAAAAGCACTCAGATTCAGCCAATAAGTACCTATCGACCTAACATCATACAAATGACAAAACAAAGCTGTTATCTTGTGAAACAATGATTCAAGTGCATCTCGACTGAGATAAGTAATTGCTACATAAAGTCTCAATCTCATCTCATTGAGATATTATAGTCCCATTATCTTGTAACGTTTTCTATCTCACTCGCGAACTGATAGCTGTAGGTGGTAAGATTAGCGCACGTTTATCGATTGAAAGTTGCGGAACGACTTGTAGTCAAGTCATTGTAGACTAGAATTTTAGATTTTAGCTTCAATAAACTACTCAATCTCCTAATAGGTTCCTTTTCCAATAAAGTCTAATAATGAATTAGAAGAATTATTATTTTTTCCAATTAGAGATTTTAGGTTTCCCAATCAAAACGTTTCCATTCTCACAATGGTTTGAAATGTCATCTGTCTAATTAGATCCTCATTAACGTATAAGAATATATTCCACTACTCTTATAAGAAAAAATATTCCAATATCGTTAACCGTAAGACATCCTTTTCTGAAATAGGTCTCCGTGAGTAACTTCCAGATCCGCCGGAGTAAAACGGCCGGCGTCTCTATGACTTTTATCGTAGGTATAATAAGTTCTAGACACAAACGACAAAAAAAAACGTAACACAAGTCACTTACAAATCGCACTCGTGCGCGAAGCATTGCAGCAACCACTATCGAACAAGTGTTTATCATCATCTACCGTAATTGGCAGATTGCGACAACCAGCCTCTTGCAGTCAAGATGTTATACCTTTGTCACGGACCAACTGATAGCTCATTCGAAAAACATTTCAACTGCCCTTATCTGGTAATTGTCGTGTATTTCTATATGATTGTGACAGAAGGTGTTTTTTTATCTATATCAGTTTTCGTTAGAGATAGATGACCCGTTAGCAGGCTTATCTAACTTTAAGTGTGTCCAAGTCCTAAATACTCGACACCTTTTTAAAAGCTTCTTCGCTACAACACCTAATTGTTCTTAACACATAATTGCGTTCAAATTCTTCTTAAAACCAATGTCTCAATAACAAAAGAGGACGCAATACGGTAGTTAGATGCGCCATGTGGTTTCACATAGAATCTCTGGTGTTCATCTCTTATACATGTTATTATTTCATATTATTCACTTACTAAATAACTACTAGTAATTTGAAGCCAAGAAAATAACAAAAAGACCACGCTGGCGGCTCATAAATGAGAATACAAACCGAAGTTCCATTTCTTTCTTTTTCGTTTAGGAAACAGTCTAAAAAGGTTTCATAATGCATCAATACGTGATACATACCACCTTCCCTTCGTAGTACACAATATACTTGACAAAACATACGTAATAATTAGTTAACAATAGTTAGAGATTAGAACCAGTCATCGGATCACGTCTACCAACTGATAATGAAGAAATCCTTGCGACTCGTGATAACAGAATCAATAAGTACTTTATTTTATTACGATTCTTAATGGTAAAAACCATGAAAAATATTAGAAACGATTTAATTTTTGAGTAATAAATATTGAAATAATATGTTTGATGTCCATATCGTGTCAGTTGTAATTCGCGATTCAATTTTGCAAGATATTTGCGCGCAATTCTTTGAGAATAGTCCTTAAAAATTCTTAGCGCAATCCAAAAAGTTTGTTTCTGCAAGTATAGAGGTATAAAAAAAATATTAAAGTTTATAGAAAAATCTAGACGCTAATTAGAAATCAAATGAACGATCTCATTTACTCCAGTGGACAAGAGCAGACTTCTTTTGCAAAAAAAAAAAAAACAAAATAAATTATAGTTTTTTGTTTTTATCGTGGTATTTTTACATAATTATGTCGACACGGTACTTATTGCCGTGGCATAGAAATAAAATTAAAAAGGTATCATTGTCTTTTATAACCAAAAACCAGCCAGTCCTTTACCTAAGTATTTTGTCACAGATAATTAAACCTCAAAAAATACCATTCTGAATTGGTCCGGTAAAAGAGGTGATAAACAACGCAGGTAGCAAAAACATTCAATAGAAATTACAAATGCATTGATGAGTAAAACTGAGAATTAGTTTAAACCGATAATTATGTACCACGTACTTACCTACACACGAGCCCACGTTCAAAGTACGCCGACCAAGATAAGTTACGTACGTACTTAGGTATATTATATTGTATTACGTTTCCAAGTAAACTGTAATCCTAATCACCATCAAACGCGCCGATGAGCATCATTTTCAGTACATTTAGCGTTATATGAAGAAAGCTGAGAATTCCAAGATGGAAGCCATTTCCCGCGGCGATCGTTGCAAATTCTAAGATATTATGTTGGAGGAACAAAAGCCCTTTTAATACTCTTTCGATTTCAGTAATCAGCGTTTTTATATTAGCTTCTACTGTTGAGTTGAAATTGTATGATTTCTTTGCTAAAAACTGTTCAATATCGTCTTTATCTTTCTATGAAATTATGACCTAAATAATTCTGGATTCATTTCGCGAAATGGCACGAAAGACTTCCTAAAACGGCAGTCCGAGAAGCGAATCATCACCACAGATTATTAAGAAATCTGTTTTTTTTAATCCGACGCAGGGTGCGCGCCCTTGCACTATGCATACAGCCTGATCACTTTTTATAAACAAAACAACATAAATACATTTTACTTTGAATACATGTTACTTATTATAAAATTATCATTTGTTATGGAATTAATATATAATAATATATACTTTGTTTTTGAGAAATAAAAATTATCCTTATGCTTATTTTTTGCTAAAATCAAGTACATATATAATCTGAATCAAGTTTTCCTAATAAGTGAATATAGCATAACGCTACCAGTACATTAAGTAACCTGTAGAGGCTAGGAGGTAATACATAACAAGTCGCATACCACTCGTGGGTTACCAGTTCGTATTGTCTGGGCTATAATAGGTCAGACGCGCGTGCGCAGAACTGGTGAACGGAGTAGGGCAACACTGCTGCGCAGATAAAATAATGGGACACGTTTTGATGCACATTTTTTGACGACGACGCGTGTATGTGTTTGTGATAGAAATTGTAATTGTAACAGAAAGGAATCGGTTTAAACCGGTTTGATGTCGCTTTATCTACTTATATCTCGATTTTTTGACAATGAAATATTATATGGATGGATCATTTTTATTTTGGCCGATTACTTTCTAGATTAGGTAATTATTTTTCTGAGTAAGATATAAGATATGCTTGGCTGCAATGTTATTTAAGTCTTTACTGCAGAAGGGTTCAACGTCTACGATTAAGTTCACATTCAATTGTTAAGTACAAAACTAAAAATAACTTAATTTACTACAATCGCCGTAACATAAGTCCTGTGGAACATCGGCTATGACTGGGTGCTGCGCACCGACCTCCCGAACGGCGTTAGCACAATATGCTACGCCGACGATACGCTGGTGCTAGCGCACGGGAGGTCACACCAGGCGGCGGCCGACTTAATGGCGACAGCGGTTGCGACAGTCGTTGAGAGAATCCGGCAGTTGGGACTCGAGGTGGCGCTCCACAAGTCCGAGGCCATGTGTTTTCATGGCCGCGGGAACGCGCCACCTCCGGGTGGGTCCCAAATAACGGCGGGAGGAGTTACCATCGGCGTCGAGACGACGATGAAGTACCTAGGACTCGTCCTCGACAGTCGGTGGAACTTCATTGAACACTTCCGACGTTTGGCTCCAAAGTTGGAGAGGACGGGGGCTGCGTTTAAACGCATCCTCCCCAACCTCGGGGGGCCAAACGCCTCCTGCCGGAGGTTATACGCCGGGGTCGTGCGGTCCATGGCCCTCTACGGCGCCCCTGTTTGGGCGCCTAACCTGTTGCGGCGTCCCGCTCGGACGCTGCTCATGGCACAGAGGGTCATGGCGATCCGAATGATCCGCGGATACCGCACGATCTCTGGGGAGTCGGCGAACCTCCTTGCCGGATTACCGCCGTGGGATCTGGAGGCGAAGGTGCTCGCGCGCGTGCACAGCATGCGCGCGGAGGCACGTCGCCGGGGCGAAACTCCGCTGCCGCGCCAGATAAGTGCGTGGCGGGATGAGCTCCGGCGCGATCTCATGGCGGAATGGCAGCAACGACTGTCGCAACCGAGGGCTGGGCTCGCTGCCATCGCAGCGGTAAGTCCCCTCTTTGAGGAGTGGCTTGAGAGACGCTACGGCGTCCTCACCTACCGCCTGACGCAGGTCCTCACCGGACATGGAAGTTTCGGGAGGTACCTGTGTCTGATGGGGCGGGAGGAAACGCCCGGGTGTCATCACTGCGAGGACCGCCCTGAGGACACGGTGGAACACACGGTGGGAGAATGCCCTTCGTGGGCTGAGCACCGCCGTGTCCTCAGGGAAGTGATCGGCGATGGCGACCTCTCGCGTCCGGGCCTAGTGCAGGCCATGATGCGGAGCGAGGGGGATTGGGATGCCGTCTCCTCCTTTTGCGAAGCAGTCATGCTAGCTAAGGAGGAGGCGGGACGCGTGAGGCAGCGAAGCGCTGCCTCCTCGCAACCCAGCCATCGCGAAGGACACACCGGGCGTCGGGGATCGCGGGACGATCTCCGGCCACCGTAAGCGCGGGCCTGCGGACGGCGAGCATGGGTGGCTCCCCGTCCGACCAGAAACAGACCCGAGCGTACGGCGCGTCGCGTTCCGCGCGCGCCTCAAAGAGCCATCAGACCACCACAGATGGGGCCCAATAGGGCCGATGCCGATTCGGAGTCGCGGAGAACCTAACGGGTAACCGGGGCTCCGGCTCGACGTGCAGGAGAAGGAACGGGGTGGTTTTTAGTCAGTAAGAGTCTGACACTCCCTCCCGCCTCACCCAGGCGGGGGCAGTCATTCGATGATTTTCCCCCCCTAAAAAAAAAAAAAAAAAAAAAAACATAAGTGGCGTGCCATTCGATTGGGTTATTAGCATACATTGTCTGGTTTATAATAAACGGCGAGACGCGCATGCGCACCGAACTACCCGACTGACAGTACAGTGACCACGAATTCATAAAAAAGAAGACTGCTATATCTCCCTGACGCGACATTTAGACACTGATTTAAATTATTATTATTCCGATAAAAAGTCATGTGTATTCATTATCTTATTATATTGATTAATAATATAAATATCGAGTTTTTTTATTGAATGCCGTATCTATTGTTATCTGCAGGGACTTTCCAGATGATTTAACCAAAATATGCTTGTGAACAATCGTGGCTTAGATCTTTTTTATCTTTTTCAGTGTAATAAATAAAATGTATCATTATTTTATAAGAGATATCCGAGCATATATGTTGTGTGTTGTATCTCAATATGTAGCAGTGATAATAAAAAGATATTTATTTTATTGTGGAAATATTTTTAGTGACTTGTTCATCTGTGGTTATTAACTATGATTATGGATCGCAGGACTTTCAATTCATTTTACGGGTGAGATTTACAAACAATTTCTGGATTTCATCTGGATTAAATTGCGGTTTACTTTTGGAAGAAATAACTTGATTAGGCAATTTGTGATATATAAAATTTTTGCTGTAATATCATGCGCTTGCATATGTTTGCACTTGCAACTCAGCATAAATTGAATGTTATGTTATTTGATAATACAATTTACTACATTTTTATTTATTGAATATCTTTACCAACATAGATAAATACACCGCAACTACAGCGAGTAAAAATTAAAATATTAAACACATGATCATAAGTACAGTCTTCAACAAACCCGTAAAAGGTGTGTCCCTATTACCGAGCAGATATGTGCACGTAGATTAGGTACCCTCATTCCTCACCGATCGATGATTAGCGTCAAGTGCTACAGGAAGCCATTGATAGCATATGACTCAATACTCTGTCATTTCGTCACAAACCTGTTTTAAAAGACATTTTGTTTCACTTACAAAGAACTTTGAATTGTATTATAACTCTGCTAAGATAAATTAATTACGTCGCTTTTTTCACGTAACTGTAAACTCATGATTGTGAGCCCTTAGCGTCTCTTGAAACTAGTCGAGTTTCCCAGTAAAACAGTTAAGTCAAAATCAAAATCATTTGTTTTAATTAGACCAGAAAGGCACTTTTGAACGTCAAAACGAAATATAGAAATATTAAAAAATATCATTCCGTCTATCTGTCAGTCCTCTAGTGTCCATCAGTCCTTTAGACACTCAGATACTATCATCATCGTCATTCTGATATAATGGTTAAATACTTGGGATCGGCACAATATGTACGTACGTCTCTAGGTAATAGCTAAATCTATTGACAAATGGTTTCTAAGACTGGCCACAATTGGTCATAAGTATCAATATTGGATAGTACCAAAGTAAAGAGTGATACGTGTACTTTAGTAGATAAAGATTATCTTTATATTGAAGGAAACAAAGATCATTGTTGTAATGTTAGGTACGGCGATGTCATGCCAAGAAATTGTATCGATTATACACGTCCTGACAAGTACACTTAATGCAATTTTTAAATTCGATCCGAATGCCGATAAAAATGATAAAATTGCATCATTTACGCTTTCTTTGAAATTCATTTTTGGTTTTGACTTTGTCGTCTTCAATGACAAATTCCTATATAGCGTTATAATGTGGTCACTGTATTGGAAAAGCTCTGTTTAACAAAATGTCTTCAGAAAATGTACGATTTCTTCGTAGTTTGCTGTTGTAATCTTAAGTATTTAGGCATTCATTTATAATAGTATATTTTTCGTTATCACAGGCGTAGGCGTGGTCGTCCGTCGCGGGCCATGCAGGGTGCTGCCAGCGCCCCCGCGCCCCCCGCGGCTGAGCCGCCATCTTCCCAACGTAAGTATCTACAATATCTACATGTTTTTCAATTATTCCGCATAATCATTCATCGATAAACATTTTTTCAAGTCAGCGTACATCACAAAAAGTAATCGACTCATTTTAAATGGCGATAATGATTAAGATTTTGTGACCACATTCATAGCCGTCCGCATCTCCGGCGCAACAAGATGCTAATTGCTAGTGCACTCAATGACAGCAACCTGACGACTGATGGCGCGCACGCGCGGTACCCGACACCCGAGCATTTATACGACTACCCTCATATTTTATTACAACGTTTTAGAACAGCTGATAATGTTTATGACTTGGCATCCGGTATTCAGCGACGTATCGCCTGGATTCTTCATTATAGTTATGCAAAATAACCTAGCCAAGAGAATTTTACAGTCTATTTTATTGATACTTCAAATAGAAGTAATTAAACTTGGTATATTTCTTATCTGTGGCGTGCCATCACAGGTGTATCTTTTGTCATTTCGAATAACATTTATGGTATTTAGAGGACATTACAAGAACACGCAGGGCAATTCGCAACACATTTAAAAGAAAAGATTCAACATACTTAACTCTCAACCTAATCACATAGGTAATAGAAACCAGATGGCTAATCAATAATGACATAATTTCTTACACTCTCATTAAACGTCGATAACACTAAACTAAACCTGATATAGAACCTAACGGGTAACCGGGGCTCCGGCTCGACGTGCAGGAGAAGGAACGGGGTGGTTTTTAGTCAGTAAGAGTCTGACACTCCCTCCCGTCTCACCCAAGCGAGAACAGTCATTCGATGATTTACCCCTCTTAAAAAAAACTAAACCTGATACACGTCGATCAAGTCAACATTAGCTGTCCTTTACATTCCTAGAGCGGTACTTCAAGACACCTACTGTTTAAACGACGATTTTAAAGGGACCAAGGCGAAGTTTCGTAAGTCAAATATCTCATTAGTCAGACACTTCATTGAGACATGGAATTCGGTTTGCTCAGCCGTGACAACAATCTCTGAAGATCCTTTACATCCTTTTGTCTGTCACACACTTGTGTCAATATCATCTTAAGGCCATTCATATCATGATGAACGGTACGAATAGGTGCAAGCTTCCCAGATCTTGACACGTTTCTGAGATTTTCAATTCTATTTTCAATGGTATAAAGTTGCAAATCTTTTAATTTAAACTTTATTCTACATCAAGCATCTATGTTACCTTATATAGGTTTTCAGATCTTGTCGCATTTTTGTGATTTTCAATTCTATTATCAAAAGCATAACGTTGTAAATCTATTGGTGTTTGGTTCAGAGATGACTGGCCTGGACCTTTGAGAACAAGGAGTTAAGTGAAATGAGGTTTTATTACATTTTCTATTCAACAAGTCTAGTTAGTTTTGAGTTATGGTTAAGAAACAATGGCTTTCTTATATCTATAGCTTTCATTGCGTCAAGCATTTTGTTTAATATTTATAAGTGCTTATAGATGTATCAAGCTTTCCTCTCGTTATAAAAACAATGTCCTCTAGAATTAGTCTTTTGTCATATGGCTTTTGTTTTAAAGCTAAACATTTATTAACATTTTCTGGTTCGTGCCAATTAGTTACGAAGTTAAAACATGGTTTTCCAAATTAGCCAAAATCAAGGTTCAGATAAAGAAAGTAGAACATTTAAACTCTTTTTAGTAAGATCAATATTGGAACTAAACTGACTCATAGAAAAAATCATTTCGTTGAAATGTTAGTAAATCGTCATAGGAGATTAGATTTACTAATCTACTTCCTTTTCCGTTTAAATCGAGCCAATCATTTTTAAAGGAAATTCTGAATCGATACATGACATGACATACATTTCCAATTAATCGATTCTTGTGATACACGTGCCGCATCCTAAGTCATTAAAAAAAAACAATTAAAATGTTTTCCATTTGCTTTAAAACTTTTTAAAACATTCATTCCAGCCAGCTACTGTTATCAGTCAAATGCAAATGACATTTATCAACTGTCAAACGTCTCATTAAACATTTTAGGTGCTCTCGATGTCCTATGACCGATTAGGACGTCTGTCGAAGGTGTAGCTCCAACGGTACTTTATCAGATAACCCATTTACGTCGTCTTCCGGCCCTAATTGCTGTTTGTAAATACAAAACGGCAAATAATGACGAACCCGTTGAGCCTCGTTACAATTTTTGTGTTTATTTTCGGCCTCTCACAGTTAGATTAAAACCTCTTTCGATTTTTGACAGCAAATCATAGATAATCTTCAACAAACGAACGCAATCTGGCTGGTAGCCAATTCAATTTCAAAAAAGGAATTGATAAAGTCGCTGGCTGGATAAATTAACAGAGTATACAGCCCCAATACTTAAGAATAATAATAAGGCATTGTTCTAAAATACATATAAAGTGGATCATTCTGAAAGATCGGTATAAATCACAATTTTTATTTACGACTTGAATCAGTATCTATAAAAGTCAATCTTAAAACAGCTGAACAAATTAATACGTCTTTCTTTTTATCAGAAACATGTCATGATTTAAACGCAACTTAAGAAGAAATACGTCATTGGAACATCTGTATAACTCTTAATTAAATCAATAAGGATACACGTGTATGTAAAATCTATTGTAATTGAAATAAATTCGCTACTTTGTGATTGTGGATCCGTCGCGTCGTAACAATAAATAGACGATAACATGTAGTAACTACAATTAATATGTTAATTATTTGTTAGTGTGTCTTTTTTATCCCAGAAAATATTCGCTTGACAGCACCATTGAAGCTTAAGGTTTAATATTTTCGTTTCCAAAACGCGATTAAAATAATCTACATACAGTCGCGTCTCTGTCTACCCATCAATCAACTAGCTACCTAAACTAACTCAGTGTCAAAGCACTCTTCAAGAAATATGTGACGTTACTTGTAACTCAGATCACGAACACCGGGTCGACGGTCCTGCCATCTCTCGGGCCCTAAACGAATTAACATTCAATTATTCACATCTCTACCGTCAACTCCCCCCTCTACCCCTCGACTTGCGTATGCGCCTAATTGGGACGCTTTTCCGTTCAGAGAAAGCGACCGATCGAGTGGAAACCATTTTTGGGCGTGCGATTGATCGATTTCGGATCGAGATTTCGTTTTGTTCGATGACGTCATTTTGGTACGTACAATAGGATCTTTGTTGGTTGGAGTGCTCTTGAGATAAGTGCTTAGTAATAGAGGGATAGTTGTAAGTGTGACTGTACATAAACAGTACATGAAGGAAAGGTTTACAACGTAGATACTGGTAAAGGAAACCCCCACGATAATGGTGATAAACACTTGGAAAAAATACTCAAAGTCTAAATTGATTGAATAACGTCCCGAACGTATGTTACTGAGTAAAATTCCACTGATTACTTAAACAAAAACAGAAGCGCAACGATATTTGTTAGGTACCACAATAATTGGATCAACTTCTAATCTTCAACCGCTAAAATACGTCTTCGCGTAGGCATTGAAACAAGATACTCCGTAATACGAGCCGCATTCTACTAACATAAACATAATTCGTTCATAAAACTACAAATTACGCCGAATATTACTATTTTCTTCGAAAATCACAGGTTTGCTTAAAGTCTTGATATTAATAAACACATTAATGATGAATATGATACCTCGATCTAATAACATGCATAAGTAACTAAATCGCCATTTCCTCTGCTATCAAAACAAAAGTAATTCATAATGGTGGGACTTTCCGTATTTAGGAATACCATAGAAAAAGACTTTTATGAGATAAATATGTCTTAAATACTAAATTACCCATAAGCCACACTATCCAGAAGCAAATAAAACGTAAAAAAAACAAATGTTGACATTCTTTCTTTTCTAAATTCAAAAAAGAACATCAGCTGTCAAAATCTTTGTTTCGATTCAACCTGTTTCGTATTCAGTCTATTTATTGGAACTTGTTTGAAAGTCTGCCTAATCCAGGATCTAGCAACCGTCCCAGTAACCAAGAGAACTGCAGCGTCCTATAAAGTATTGAAGGCAGACATGAGTGTGGCATCATAACTGCACCGTTACTGCGGAAGGCACGCTCCTGACTTGCATTAATCAGGACGCCATCTTAAAACCATAAACAGTACGACCATAGAGTGATGATGAGGTGTAAGTTTTGTTTTGTTGATTTAATACTCTATGGAAGCTCTTTAGTGATAAATAACAAAATTCGTAAGCGATTGATATCTTTGAATTCGTCTCTTTACTGAATAATCCACGCCAGTTTACCAATAACAAATTGGTTTGACAAATAGTAGAAAGTATCTCAACGAAAATGACCGTACCAATTGCATAAACCCATAATTAAGTTTCCCTCTGAGATCCGAAACGGGTACAACGCTAACAAACGTACGAAATGAACGTCCGCGCACCACATTATCAATTTCTAGACAATAGCAGTCTCAGTTGTCACAGACAATCTTACCTTTACCGCTAGGAAAGTCTAACTAGACGACAATAACGTGCAAAATACTCTAATTTAACAGCAAAACAACAGTTGCGAAAGCATACCCGTATGGTCAGGTAATTGCCGATGGCGACACCATAAATGACGGCTTGGAGATACTACATGGTGTAATTCAGTACCGTTGAGGCTCATTGGAGTGTTGAAGAAAGCAGCGGTACTGTGCGACGTCCCCGACATATCAATCAAATAGCTTATAATATGCGCCGCCCACCGTTACAAACACAACCATCTTATTATGCGGACAATAAGAGTTATTGTCGTGCAACTTCGGTGGACTTCGGGACACTTCGGGATGGCGATAGGTCGATTTAAATTCCGAATAAGCGGGAAGGAGGAAGTCACGGTTGTGCCAGCCGCTTCTATGTCACACCTTTTCTCCGTATATGAAGTTATTGAACTCGACTGTACGTTGAATTCGGATGGTGTTTATTCCGTGGTTGTACTATTTTGATGACCCTTACACGTGTTGTTCTATGTTGAATATTAATTCG